TCTCTCTCTCTCTCTCTCTCTCTCTCTCTCTCTCTCTCTCTCTCTCTCTCTTTCTTTCTCACCCACTTACATAATACTATATAAATTACGTTTGTGTAATTCATCAATTTTGCAATAAAATACTATTGCATCAACATTAGATTAAACATTTTTGTGTCCTTGTTACTTACCTACTGCCGCCTCCGAACTTTGCCCACCAACCACTTCCTGTAAACAGAATAGGTACGATAACTGCAACATAAGTATTATACTAGAAAAAGTATTACGTGTCAATAGATAGAAAACAGATCTTTTGAAAATGGAATAAAATGAGATTCATTTTTGAGTATTTTTTTGACAGTGTGAGACAAGACTTATATCACACATGTTACTGGAGACCAAATAGAAAAAAAAGAAGAAGAGGTAGACTAACGGGCAAGAGTAAAGCAAAAATCAGAGATGGGATAATCTCTCGGGGTTATTGGATGTGGCAGCACTGTAAGAAATGGCCGTAGAGCAAAATGATACGTCTCTTGGAGACTTAAGTACTCTTGCATAATATTTAATATTTGTAAGCTGTACACATAGGCAGTACGCATTAACCCTTCCATGGCAGAGGCATTTCCATCTGCATTTGTACAAACAAAATTTATACGTGAATTTAAGTACAACGCCATATTTTCCCACTTTTAAAACAGAATAATCAACTGTACAGTCTGTTACTGTATCTAAAAAACTATTTCGGTGAACCAGTAAAAAAAGGGCAAAAATGAAAGAGGATCGTATCGGAGAGTACAAACGAATACTTACCTCTACGTAGCAGAGAAGGGGTTAAGGAGAGGATAAATTCTTTAAAAATAAAATTGTGTCCCACATTTATTCTATGTTTTCTACAATGATTGAATGTCGATTGATGAATGAAAACAGAACCAAGACAACCAGTTGGCATTCTTGCCCATTTCTGTAGTTAACCAATGACCCTAACAGTTATATAACATTTTTTCTATCCTTTAAAGCATCTTGGTTAATTTGTGTCTTTCAGGCTTCTTAGTTGTTGGGGTTTTTTTTGGTCAATCTTAACTTCTCTACTTTCACGTGGTGTCCACGTTAGAGAGAGAGGGGGGGGAGAGTGAGTGAGTGAGAGAGAGAGAGAGAGAGAGAGAGAGAGAGAGAGAGAGAGAGGGGGGGGGAAAGAGAAAGAGAGAAAGAGAAGGAAAGGATTAGGGTTTAGGAAGTTTTATTCTTGTCTTTTGTTGGGTTTTTTGTTGAAGGGGGTGGGGTGGTTGGGGATATTTTTTGGCATTCTTGCAGATTTGTCTTTGACCTTTTCGTTGTAACAACAGCTATGAGTAAAAATGCATAACATAGTCTCGTAGTCGAGGGATTGGCCGACAAATGTTCATACAGTCAATAGGAATTTTACGCTTAAACGAAATTCAATTTCGTACGCTGCACGTAGCCAGACTGTTATACTTATCGCGTCTCATTTTGTAAAATGCCTACGGAAATCACGAGCGAGAGTGCCAGATTCTAATTTGGAGAGACAAGTTGCAACATCAGAACTACAAGGTTTTCTTTGCTCAGTACCTATATTTTAGAAAATTGACGTCAAAGATTTTGAGTTTCACATCACGTTAAGCTTTTTCGAATGCAATTCTCTGAACACCTTGTATAGCGATTACGAAGAGTCTTACGATTTTGATAGAGCAAACAGAACATTTGGTTTCTTTCCTAATAATCTTAGTAACTCAAAACGCCCAAAAATATCAGATAGAACTTTATAATTCTGAGGTAAATATGTACTAATGAAAATAGTTATGATAATATTTTAATGATAAAACATTTAAAATGTGGGAACAAATACTATCGACGTCACAAAAATACTTCGACAGCAGTAAGAAATAAACCATCAACAACAACAATATGCTTCACGACGCTTTGGAATCAGGTGATCGTCAATCTTTGGGCATGTAGACTTATTGGTTTAATATTAATACTGTTTCATTTGTATATCTTTCGATGAAAAATACAAATTTTTCGTGAATAGATGTAGGGATAATTACAATTGAAGGTGGTTAAAGATAACTTGGTGGTCTAAAATCGACAAGAGTAGGCTTCGGCTGCCACCCGTGCAAAATTAAAAATTGCCTACCAACTGAAAAAGTTGAATGTGTCCCGAGCGCTCATATGACCTTATGCAGTTGCGAGCGCCGTAAAACACTTACAAAAAAAAAAAAGAAGGTGGTTGGTGTTTCCTAGTTCTTGAGGTAAAATTAGCGAGAAAGGGCTGTCTAAGTGTTGTGAATTCCATAGCTTAAGAGTCCTTGAAAACCCGAAATGTACATTTGCACCCTCTTAAAACAACGTTTTTCCTCACAAAATATTATTTCAAATGAACGCATAAGGTGCTGAGCCAAAATATCCAGTAAAAATTTCCAAATGGACGAAAAAATGCCAGTATCTTTGATTTCACTATGTTGACGAGCATCTCATTCCACCACGATGCCTCACATATGAACCAAAAAAACCCCAAAATAAAAGCCCAAGGAACAATCAAAACAGAGACAGGAACAGCGGCCAGGGTAAAAATACGCCAAACCTAAAAGTCCTATTCATTTTTGTTTGCTTTATTTCTTTCAACCCCCCCCTCTCTCTCTCTCTCTCTCTCTCTCTCTCTCTCTCTCTCCTCTCTCTCTCCCCCCCCCCCCCCTCCCTCTTTTTTTCACAAAAAAATCCAAGGGAAAAGAAGGCACTGAATCTCACAAGAGTCGAAAATAGTAGAGGCAAAAGCAGGAATGTCTTAGCCGGCCGCGCCATTTTTTCTTGGCTTCTGGGGAGAAGAACTTTGGCTTGACACTGGCTTTGTTGGTGTGCTCAGGCTGGGGTGGCTCAGGCTCCCCAGGCATAAATCCAGTCGGGGCTGTGGACACACGATCGTGCACACAGTTTTAGGAATTGAAAAGATAAACGTATGATGATGATGATGATGATGATGATGATGATGAT